TTGTATAATTTCGAAATTTGAAGCAAAAACAGAATGATTTGACTTCAGTATTGTGAAACTATACATAAAAAAATATCTGCATGAAACAGAAACAGCAGACGAGCTGAATGAGACAGATTAACTCTCTGCCAGCAGGTGGTGCTTAAAGCGTTTCCTTGGTTTCTGCTGTAAACAAAGCAGCTTGTTGCAATTACGAACTTTAATATGCATTATAAGGCAATAGGAAAAGTAAAAATGCCATCGAAAGATAGTCAGTTCCCCTCAGACATGCATTCATATAAACTCCTACCCCTAATTAAATCGCGATTTGTTTAGCATCTCAACCGATTTGAATCGTCACATATTTGAATCGATTTTCAACCGGCTCACGGTTAATCGTTACATCAACAATTCTTACTAATTATAGCAATTATTAGTAGAGATGCACCGATTGCAATTTTCTTGGCCATTCCGATTTCTGATTTTTTTGTTAGTGTGATCTGCCAATACCGATTTTTGCCGATTCCGATTTTCTTTCCAAGAACTATAATTGACAGCATATACAAACAAAAATCTACTTTTCTTCAACGCAAAGTTTTATTTTCATTAAAAAAAACAAGTAAAAAGTCAGTAATAAAAGAAGAACACAAAAAAAATTGCAAACAACAGCACAAATAAATGCAACAGAATAAAGAGAGCTATGGAACTAAGTTTTTATTCAGGTAAGAAATACTACAGAAATTAAAGTAACCAAATGTAAAAACACATCCAGTGTTATTTTACATTTGATTACTTTAATTTCTGTAGTCTTCATTGTAAAAATTAAATACAGATTAATGCTTACCATTAAAGTTATAAAACGTATTAAGGAGCAGAAAGTGATTTTCTTTGTCTTTTGTTCTTTGATTAACATGACAGACAGCAGTAGGAATATTGGACTGCGGTCCCTTTAAGAGTTTATCCACGGACTCAATATAGGGCCTGTTTACACCTGGTCACTTCATGCATTTTCGCTGATTGGATATCTATCGGATTTTTTAAAACGTTTCCATTTACACTTGGCCACATAAATGTGTTGTCACAAAACGGATATAAATCCGATCTTCAATTCCCGCGCTATATTTAAATTTAATGGAGTTCACATAAACGAAATCAAAAGATAAGCGCTGCCTTTTATTAATTTTTAGCTCATTTCAAGATCAAAGACCACAATAGGAGAGCGCGCGGCATCAGCACTGGAAAGATACGTTTGTCTTACTACTTATAATGAAGATGATTGTGTGTTGACCGTTTGCGTCTTACTTTCAGTTTCATTCGTGGCAGTTTGCGCGTCGGCTTGCTGAAGAGATACTCAGCTACTCGTCCGCAGCAATGCGTGTTGCATTAGCGCAGTCTGACTAATGTCATATAGCCTATGACACGCTCTCACACGTTTATTATTTTATCATTTTGGGAGGAATAAAATTTACATATGTGGTTTCAACAACCAGATGCATTTACACTTGTCGAGTTTCATCTGGAATGCAGCCCAGACCACCTCCTGAAGTGGTTTGAGCGATCGGATTTATAGCCGTCTTGGAGGGCATTTACACCTGGTCTTTTCACGATCGGATAGCTTTTTCTCAACTATTTAACGTTCCAAAACTGACTGTGTTTAACCGGATACTCACCAAGACGGGCATTTTGACAATTTTGTATGTATTTGAACGTTTTAGCGCAGTTAGCTGCTAATTTTGGTATTTGTGGTTCACAAGCTGTTTGAGACTGAGCTTGTGCGCTCCACTAATATTGATCAGTTCTGGTGCGCGCACTTTTGCGCTGGTAACAAAACGGATCGGCTCGGAATTGGAAAGTAGTGAGACTGATCGGCCGATCACCGATCTGGGCCGATCATGAGGAAAATCGGCCGATTCCGATCGATCGGTGCATCTCTAATTATTAGTAGTAGTCATAGTAGTAGAATTATTAATATTAGATCATTATTGTTGATGGAAATTATGATAATACTACTTTAAATGGGGATTCTATTAAATGCATTACTTGTAGAGATGCACCAATTGCAATTTTATTGGCCGATTCCGATTTTTTGAAAGTGTGACCTGCCAATATCGATTTTTGCCAATTTCGATTTTCTTTCTAAGAACTATAATTGACAGCATATACAAACAAAAATCTATGCAAATTTCTATGCCTAACCCTAACCTTAAAATTACGTTAGGGTTATTTTAAGGTTAGGGTGCGTTCACAGCAGTGAACACACACACACCATGAACAAACACCCGGAGCAGTGGGCAGCCATTTTTGCTGCGGCGCCCGGGGAGCAGTTGGGGGTTCGGTGACTTGCTCAAGGTGGTATTGAAGGTGAAAGAGAGCGCTGTACATTCACTCCCCCCACCTACAATACCTGCTGGACCTGAGACTCGAACTCACAACCCTTGCGAGTCC